TACTCCTTCACTGATTTCAAGGAAAAAGGATTTGTCTCTGCTAATCTGTACAGTTAACCTTCACCATGCTGGTCCAGGGCCATACCTGCCAGCGTCAGAGACAAATCCAGGTCATTGTGACTTTAGCCTGGATTAAAAAGCTGTTCAGATTGCCATCTTTAAGACTGTGTTTAGGTGTCTAATAAGCCTCATAGTCTGTTTTTTCTTAAACTGAATTCACAGAAGCCTGTAATGATAACAGATATCACGGAAGGGGGGAAAATCCAAATCACTTTCTTGATTTGCTTTATCACTGCATTTGTCTTGAATGCCAGATGAGCTCACATCAGAGGGCCCTTGGGATGGTTTGGAGCTAACCAGCAGTCTTATTTTGCAGACAGAAAGTGATATATTGCTGAGAGCTGAGCTAGAAGATATTGTGAAGAGGCATCCTGAGCAGTTTGTGCTGTGGTACACACTGGACAGACCTCCTCAAGGTAGGCTGGGACACACAGGAATGCCTTTGCTTGTTGCTGTACAACAGGCAGAGCTCTGCTCTTGTTCGGGTGAACATCAGATCAAGTCTTCTTGTTTTACACTTTTAAACAGCAAAGACATCCCCCAACTCCTCAGGAAAAAAACCCCTTACCAAAACCCCTGCTTTAAAAAGTGATCTAAGCCAGGTGGGCCTTTAGAAAGTGTGAACTAATAGTTAACTCACATTGGGTCAGACATGTTACTCAGTGGATCTTTCCATGTATTTCAGGATGTGCCTGTTTTTGGGACTTTTCAGCAAAAGTTCAGCTCTGTTTTGGGCTGTCTCCGAGACCAGTTTATGTTGGCATTTTGTTGGCATCAAATTGCCTAATACCTGTAAACATGCACATCTTTATTTTGCAGCAGCTTTAGATTAGGTTCTAGACTTCCATTACAGACTGGGGGCTGGTGTAGGAGTTGAACTCTATACTTCCTTTGAAACTGGGTATTCATGCTTGCTGATGTAAGGGATCTGAGCATCTCCTGAACAGACATAAGTGCCAAACAGAGTCACATCAAAGTTCTGTACCTGTTGTCAGCAACAGCCATGAGTTAAATGGTCAGAGAAGAGTCATCAGCAGGCCTTGATACTCTTCCAGCCTTTACTGTTTCTCAGTTTGGAGCCAAATGTGTCTCTAGAGCTACAGCCACTCTCAGTGGGCTACATTTGTCAAAACAAAGTGTCTCTCCTGGGTGTTTTGACAGTTTGTGAGTGGTTCCATAGGAATAGCACGTTTCTGTGGAGAACAACTTCCTCTGGTTTCCATTTGCCTCTTAATCCTTGTGTTGGCAGAGTGTGACTAAGTCTTCACGTTACTAATTTTACAGACCTCTGTCAATCACCCCTGCTGCCACATCTCTTCTACACTGAAGATTGCTGTGATTACATACCTTTGCTCAGCTGTGTCCTCTCAACCCTTTCCAGCTCTGCTGTGTCCCTTCTTGAGCTGAGCTGAGCAGATCAGAACTGAACAGCAGCAATCAAGGTGTAGGCAAACTGTATTTTTGCTTTGATGTGATTCTCCCTTTTCCTTTCCTGGCCCTTCTTGACATTTCATATGCCTTTTGACTGCTACTTTTTTCATAATATCTTGCTCATGAGAAATGAGCTTAAAGCACATATTTTTATATATGAAGGCAGTTTTCCTACTGCTCACTTCAAATGTCAGGTACATTCAATAATATTACTGCTTGAAATAATTTAGCATTTCTTTCCTCTTTTAATTTTTTTTCCCTCTTATTTAAATACATGGTGGAGCTTTTGTCATTATCAAACTTTGTCACCTTGATCTCTAAAAAAAAAAAAAAATGCAAAAATGGGTTGGATGGCACAGGTCTCACCACCTCTCCCTGCACAACTGCCACTGGGTGAGCTCTCTTCAATGGAAAAGCTGATTCACTCTTCCTTTTTATACTTGCCTGCTCATTTCTTTTAAATCTAACATTTATTCACAGACTTATCAACCAGGTCCTTGTTATCCACATGCTTGTTGTCCCTGTGGAAGGGGACCACTAGGTTTAAGCTCAGTGAGAAATTTAACCGTCTCCTGGCTCACAGTGGTGGTGGCATGACTGCTGATTCTTCAGCTGCTTTGTGAGTGCAACATACACAGTTTAAAAAGGCTTCAGGGTGTATAGATTTTTCAAATTAATAGTTTAATTTCTTTCTTTCAGACTGGAAGTACAGTTCTGGCTTTGTCACTGCAGAGATGATGAAAGCCCACCTCCCTCCCCCGGGCAGTGAGACCCTCATTCTCATGTGTGGGCCACCTCCAATGATTCAGTTTGCCTGCCAGCCCAACCTGGACAAGCTTGGCTATCCCAAGAGCAGCACATTTGCTTATTAACACAGATGCCATCTGATACCTTTTTGTAAGTACTGTGTATTTTCCTACAGGAACAACTGATATGTAACTGTGCAGCGGTTTTTTTGGGGTGCTTGTGATTGTTTTTAACCCCTAAAAGTAATTTCTGAGGTTTATAACTTCATAGTTACCTTTCGGTGTTTTGATACTAAGAAGTTGAGAAATCATCTTGAGCTGTGTGGCAGTAACTTAGTCTAACCTCTTAAGAGTTAGTATGAAAATGAATTCTGAGAGGAAAAAAAAATTAAGTGTAATCAGAGAGGTAGGAGAGAGAGAGAGAAAACCACTTATTTTTCAACATGGGTTATAAAACTGGTGTAGGATCACTTGACTGTTCCATAGGTAATTCATTTAGTGAATCCTGGGGAAGGAGAGTACAAAGCACAGGGTTTTTTGTGTTTTGGTTTTTTTTGTTCTTTTTTTTTAATGCTGTTTTACAGCCCTTTTATCAGGGACTAAGAAAGAATTCACAGTCTGCTACTGAAAAAGTGAGCACAATTCGGGTAACGTGAAAATTACTTATTATTGTAACAGAAATTCTCATTAGTGTGAATTTTATCTGGGAGGATAACATGCCTTCATGCTGTCTTCTAACAGCCTTAGCTAAAGAAGCACTGCCAAGTGATGTTGCATCATTTGCATGTCATTCTCTTGGGGCTTGCTAAGAAATTTCCTTTGCTTAAGAGATATCATGGTTTCTTTTTGCCTAGTGTAAACTATGCTGAGTTGATCACACTCAGGTAGTGCCTCATCTTAGAGTTTTTACCACTTAGGCACTGAAGACTAAAAATTCAGTGCTGAAGTCCTTCATGGTCATTTTCAGGAATTAGTTCACACTATATTTGACAAATCCCTGGGCCAGCAGACTTGCTTCTTCAGCAGTTAATATAGGTGTTTACTAAATATTTTTATTAATCTAAAGCAAACCTAAAGGAATCTACTAGTTTAAAATTGACATAGGGGTTTTGTACTTTATCAGCTACATTTGTAGCAATAATGCAAGGAGAGACATGGGGATTCAGACTGGGATTCTGTCCCTTATGAGAGGTCAGCTACTTGTGTTAAATCATTCCACAGTCAGGAAGAGATAAAGGAACATCCAGAATTTATTGCTAACAGTCAAAAAAATAAGCATTTATACCAGTGTTATGCTAATTAGGATTTCTTACTACTTATATTTAAAAAAAAATCAATAATTTTGTAGATTGACTATTCACAGCCAAGTTAGCACAACAACACACTGAGTTATAAACACAGCTTTGAAAGAAATAGGAAAATCTGTTTGGAATATCCCAGTGATACTAAGGCTTCCTCTGCTGGAGCAGTTTATCCCATTTGCAGTCTGCTGGCTAATTAACCTGGAAAGGTGTTTCAAATGCCCATAATGCCTGATCTGGTCACTAGTACTGACTGCACTGCCAGACTGGTACATTTAATACCTTTTATTAAACATTTGCAGTTGGCTGATGTGCAGACTGACATCTCATGCCTCTGGATTTTCCATTATCATTTAAAATTTTTCAGAAACTGAAAAGAATTTGCTTTGGCTCTACCATTTTGAACCATAAAAATCATGTGTTTAGCTTCCTAAATCTGACCGTACACTCCAAGGTCTGCCACGAGGAACTCATGGAGTGAGGGGTAGGATAGATCACCTTCAAAAAGTGCCACTGTAATTCTCAAAGAGCCCTTGCTGCATGCTCTGGACAATATTGGAGATTTCCCCTTTATTTGAGAGGGTTGTGGCTGGGAGTGACCTGCCCTCAGGCTCTGTTGGTATGTAAAACAACACCCTGCAGTCAGTGAGTGTTGCAAGAGAGTCAGAGAGTGAGGCAAACCAGCCAGATACAAAGTCTTTTCCTTACAGCTAAGCAGATTTCTGTCTGGCATTTCCCTATTTACTAACATAGCTTGTTAATAGCTCATTAATACAAGAGAGGCACATGTAAACAGATGCCACAAGTAATTGCTGCTGTAAAGGAGATGGTTTCACCCTCAAGCAGCCCCTCAAGTAAGTAGTGAGAGGCCATAATTCCCTCTGCTGCAGTCATGCCTAGCTCAGCAGAATAGCAACTGATCTGTTTTGCCAGGTGTTTTAAAGAAATAAATATTTGTTTTATTATGATGCTTTTCTGGTAGTCTTGGAGTTACAATCCTGCTGTAGTTCAGCATCTTTTTGCATCAGACGAAGATTTGTGAACATGCTAGCTTGTTGTCCTCCTGATAAAATCAAGGGCTTGATGGACAGCATTATGTTCCATTCTTCCCAGTCCACACTGCACTGACTTAGATAAAAAGAGGGCGGGACGTGTGCTAGCGAAAGGGATGAGAGATTAAAATCCTTTATGGGAACCAGTCTGGCAAGACCAGAGTAGTACTGAGTGAGCCATCACTGCTGCACTCACCAGCATCCATCTGGATTTCCAGGTAGCTCTGATGGAAGCCCACAGGGTACAATAGTGTATTAGTGATTCCTGCGTTACAAGTTAATTATAAAAATAAAAAAATTACAAAAGGTCTTTCATGTAACACACCATGTAAAAGAGGACTGAATGAAAGGGTAAAACAGGGTGCTAGTCTTGGCTTTCCAGACTCTGGATCTGAGTCCCATTCTTCTCCCAACACCTATTTCATATAACACTATGTGGAAAAACAGCACAGAGGAGAGTTACCTGTAAGGTGTGGCTACATTAAATGCTATGTGCTAAGTCACAGTAGTAGAAGAGAGGTAAAGCCATCCTGCACCAGGGCCTCCAGCTGCTCCTGGCCACTCCTGACAGGCATGAGGTATGAGTAGTGTTCTTGGTCACGCTGGAACATCATCTCCAGTCTTCAAAGGTAGGTGCTAAAAACTTGCTGTCATTCAGCATTTCATCCTGGCTTAACAGCGTCTGAAAAGGCAAGATGGGAGGGAAGGAGTGAGAAAGTGTCCAGTCACAGAAACCCAGCTGTAATGAGATCAGACTCACAACAGGGGGGGATTAGAGCTGCATACAGTTAAAAGGAATTTCTTGAATATAGCTTTAAATACACTTTTTTGCTTGAGGAAATCCTTAGAGAGTGTGTGGCATGCAACTCAACTACCTTATATAATTCTTCATTATATCATTCAGTCCCTTATTTTTGTTTTTTTCATAAATTAGCCTCTGTGGAGTGAGGAGTTAATAATGAGGAGGGGAGGGGTTGTTTGTTTTCCATGGAGTTTTAGCTCATGTACATTTTCAAGTCTGTACCTCATTCCTAGTCCTTGCTGGGACTGAGGCATTTGGTGGTGCAAAATCTTTGAAGAATTGTTTTCATTTAAGGGGATGAATATCTGTCATTGTGTTAAAGAGATAGCAGAGTTCATGAAAACTTAAATAGGCCTAAGTGAAACTTATTTTCTAGAGCAATTTAAAAGCAGGGTGGTTTCTTTACCAAATGCCCAACCAGGCTATAAGGAGGTATTTAACAAGAATAGTGACCCACTTACTCTTAACTACCACCATCAATGACAAACTTTCACTGAATTTTAGCAGACAGAACATATTTGTGACTTCAGAACACAAGTGAAATGAGTACCTACCGTAAGCTGGCTTATGCCTTGAGAAAGAGCCCCTATTTGCATTACTGTGCCTTCTGAGTGTTCCATCTGTAAAAGCATTCAGGAACTAGTTCAAATCAGACAGCATGTGCAATTTTATTCACTCTACATGCATCTTTGGGAGGTATCTGTGCCTGGACAAATGAAGTTGTGGTAAGTTTAAGGGGTGATTTCTGCACGTTAACAAAACTGCCTCCATGATGCGAGGTACACGAAAACACACAATGGGAAGGGTGAATCCTGGTTAGGAAAGATTGATTCCATGAAACTTGGACTCTGTTTCACAGAAGGAAAAAAAAAAAGCTTAACTGATATTATCAAAGAAAAGCAGTATTTTCCAGATGGTCTAACACTGCTTATACTTCTGGTAGGCTTCTTTCACAGGCAAGAAGTAAAAGTCCTTGATAATACAGTCCTACTTTTTTTTTTTACATAAAAGCATAACCAGTTCCATGGTGTTGTGATTTCACAGCATGACCACGTGCTCAGAACCATGCTTAAGTGAAAGACCATGCTCCTAGAGAAAAAAATCCAGTATTTCTGTGATGCTTGAACAACTGCACAGTGCAAGTTCTTGGCTCAAAGTTATTGCATTCTGTCACACCTCCCAGCTGAACAAGTGGACATCAATACTAAATCACAGGATTTGGTATTCTCCTTATTTAGGAACAGTACCTTATTTTACTAAGGAGTACTTTGAAAAAGACAATGGTTAGATAATGAACACAAATGAGATGTTAGATGCACTAAACCATGCAAATGAAAAAAAATATCTTCACAATTAGTCTTTTCAATGTTGTGACCATTCTCTTATCAGGCTTAAAATGTTTTTATCTTACTGGAGAAAAGGCAGTTTACCCCAGGTGCCTCTCTCTGGCTCTTGTGTGTTGCCAGCGTTCACACAAGGCTCCAGGAGCTCCATTTTTCAGGGTTTATATCCCTTTACACAACAGCAAAATTGAAATAAAATTTGATGGTTCTTAGTCTTCATCATTTGTCTTTATGATGTCTAGACAGTTTCATTCACAGGTTCACTACTACATAACAAAAGTGAATTATTTAAGTATCGGTTTATTAATAATCTTGTTCATTACTGAGGCATTGCTTTCACATATACTGTCTAAGCAAAACTACTCCCCACTGTACAGAATGAAAGAAAAATTCAGTTGGATTCTCTGATTAACGTCTGTTAAAAAATACAACCCAGTTGTACTTTGATATAACTTGGTAGCTTTGTACAAATTTGTCCAAATGAATTTATCACATTAAAAACCACCCATAAAGATAATGAAAAAAATAGTGTGCCATACTGAGGTTATGAAAGCTGGAAGTACAAAAGTCTTGTGTTTACTGCAGCCACCCCCTTAACTGTTAAAACACATTGATCTTCATAGTGTAAAGGTGTCATAGTCCTGAAAAAGGGCTTGAAGATGGAGGAGTTTATTATGATGTTGATTAAAAAAAAAATAACCCAGCATTCTTAGTAGAGAACTCTCTCCAGTGTCCACAGCCAACACTTTCCCAGTAAGTTCATGCGGATGCAGCAAACAGGCCAATGTTTGGTTATTTGCAAGCTTTGGAATGCATGGAGAGGATGAGATGAGAATGGCATCAGTCTGTCTGTCCCACCTGATCCAGTTCCCTATCAGTGAAAGGACTAAGTCCTTTGTATCCACCATAGTTTTTTGGAGTACCATTCGTAGCAGCTGGGTTTGTATCCATAGGGCAAATGTAGTCTGTTGATTCATCAAACTTCTTTTTTCTTAAGTTTCCAAAGTGGGAAAATCCAAGTTTCTTTGGCTAGAATAAGAAGACAATGCAAGTAGATTTGAATAAGAGAAATAAGGTTGTTCTCCTTTTGCATTTACTGCTATACCCTGGTCATTGAAGTATGTAGATCCTGAACTAAATACATTTGTTTTCAAATTGGGAATTACAGCTGACATTAAATGCATTTACACTGCGTTCCTTCTAAGAAAAGACAGAACAGACTGCATGCTTATTTCAGAAGCCCATTTAAACAGACACAAATGAAGAGCTTTGGTATCTCGAGTTAAGGAAAATGTAACTCTCCTTCTAGAACTGACCTCCCCCTGTCCACGTTTGTCCCTTATTTTCCTTATCAGACAGGGTAGAGAAGTCTGAGATTTCTCATTTTGACAGCAGTACATACCCGAACTTTGGCAGTGGTGGTCAGAGGTGTGTATGCTGCCGACTCCATTATTTCTCTTTTTTCTTGCTGTGCCTCTGGTCCAATTAATACATTAAAATTGGTGGTGAGGTGGCGGCGCAGGAGGGTCTTTTGAGGTGGGATGTTCAGGAGCATGGCCAGCGCGTCCCCGTTGAAGCGAGGTTCGAGAATCTATTAAGAAGGCAGCATATTTATTTTTTATATGGTTAAATATTTGCAATAGTAAACCACTCCAGTGCTTATCAGAGGATTTCTCACTCTTACTAAGCCACCTGTCCACATTAGAACTTTTATAGCTCACTCATGATATGATACCAAGGGTTTGAATGGGAAATACATGAAAGGAGCAATAAGAAACGCTGAACGTGATCAGGCAAATATGCAGTTATATTTATAATTTTTTGTTTGTTTTCAGAATTTTCTACCCTAGTCAGAGTATAAACTTAATCTTAGTACAGTTTCTTCTGTTTCATTTTGGCAAAAATTCTACAGTAGTAAATCATGGTATTTCAGAACTCTGACTTTACTTAGCTGCAAAGAGCTCTAAATTATTTGAATTGAAAAAATGTCATTCCCGGTTGCTGGCAAGACTGCTGTGAGTTCAGGATGGTTATTTACCATGGCTCAGAATTCTGGTAAAACCACTCAAAGAAACACTCCATGATGCCTTATCAATAATAAGTAACTTTCTCAAGGTACAGTTCAGGTTTTTCTATGTATGGCTGCCAAACACTTGTGCACACTCAGCTTTGGCTATAAAAAATGTTCTAGCAGTGCCTTTTCGATTTTAGTTTTCCTTTGAAAAATTAAGATGCAGGGATGAGATAAAGAGGCTCCTTAGAAGGCCTGATCACAGATGCATTTGCTTCCTCACGCTTGACGAATATCAGATAAAAGATGTTTTATATTCCAGCCTGTCAGTTTTTAGCAGATAGGTAGTAAAATGCTAAATTCTTACAATCAGGCCCCCGTGCACTCCACTCCCTCGAAGGTTTGGTGCATATTCTGCCAGATCCACTGATCTGAGCCATTCCATCACTCGGTGGTTGGACCACTGAACCACGTCAGAAGGTGACACATTCTGTTGAAGGAACCAGGAAAGGTGATGACACAACAGCCTGTGTTGTCTGAATGTGCACAGTGTGCATCCTCAGTTCAGATAAAAACATCCTTCCTCCTCTTCCCTGACTGAGGTATTGTTGCTGTTCAAGGCCTCTTTCAGCAGCCTCTGACAAGTTTGCAGGTCTAATTTATTACAGATGAAACCCCATGAATTGCATCAAGTAGTGTAACAGTACAGATTAGGGGTATAAAAAGGGACCGTTTTGAGAACAGTGTTATTGACACTTAATACTAAGAGAATAAGATGTGCTGGTCAGGTAAGGCAAAAACCTTACAGATTTTGAGAGTTAAAAGTTAGGACAAGCAAAGAAAAAACATTCCAGGTGATTTCCTCAGAAGTTGAATTAACCTTTAAACTATGCAAATAACTTCTAAAGAAAAATGCATGAGGTTCAACTAATAAGTAGCTCAAACTCTTCAGGAGTGCACAGATTTTTACTATCAGTGAGTACATGTTACATGCCAGAGCTGGAAGGCAGCATGACTGCTGCTTTAGGGGCAATTCCCAAGTAGCAATGATTCTGTTGGTATCATTGTACACTGCTAACTTGCTATCCCTTTTGGCTGGAACCAGGTACTTAGGGCTTGCTTAGATTAATTTATTTGGACATTCTTTTACCTCCTCAACCGGTCTCCTGCGTAGGCAGTGGGGGTTGAAATTGTTGACGTGCAGCACATGAATGGCACATTTAATGCTCAGATGATGCAGCTGACTGGTGACTTTCAGAAAGAGAAGGTCGTTCTGTGAAGGAGAGAGCCTTTTAGGTGGCACAGAAAACACACCAAAACAGGTACTTTCCCCATGAAGAAAGATTTTAAACTTGCTGTGCAGTTTGATATAAATTACAGTAAGTATGGATTAGGTAAAATGAAAGTTTGCACTCTAAAGAAGGGTTTAGGGTGGAGGTTTTGGGTTGAATGTTCTGTTGTTGATATTTTTAAAACACTGCGCCATAACAAGACCTGGCTAAAAAAAATGAAGACTGGCATGTAGCCTATTAAGTCGAATCCAGGCTCAAGGATAGTTTTAAAATATTTGGACTGCTTCTGACCTGGCTAACATCCTGCTGTGGGTAGGATCATCACAGCTACCAACACACACCTAACCATGGAGCAGTAGGGACTGTGCTCCTATAATAAGGGCTCCTTAAGCAGCATAGACAAGGCTGTACTTTTGATAACAGCTATTTTAGGCATTCCTTTCATAGCACAGTTAACAAAAAAACCCCAAAAACTTATCTATCCAGACCTGGGCAGGGCAGTGGGGAGAAAACACTGTGGCTGTACGTGGTACATGGTGTGCTGTGAATGTGGTTGGGGTTGTACAGATCACTGGATTTGCTGCTTTTAGCTTACTGAATGTTGTTTCTAATTTGGTGTGGAGAACAATGTGCTCCAGAAGTTACATGTGAAACAGGCCATTTTGCCTTTAATCATGGTGTGATAGTGAAAGAAGCTGGCTGTAACATATGACTTATTTTATGTACCTTAGGAATAGTAATCATGCACTAGGCAGCACAAGTTTCTGACTCACGAAAATTCTTTAGGTGCTCACATTCAAAGGGAAATTGTACAATTTTTCACTCATTATGAAGTTAAATTTGGTTTAACTGAGGAAAAAAAGGATTGTAGCTTACCACAGTTAAGTACTGCAACATCCTCCCATCAACTCTGGATTCATGAAACTGGTCTTTGTACTGAGGTAAGCCAATGTCATCGAGCCATCCTGCAGGTATGAGAGCAATGGGGAACCACATCCAGATCAGTGAGAACAAAACCCTTTTCCCCTTTTGTCTGGCCTGGCTCCTTTGGAGGCATTCAGGTAGCTCATCCAACCTATTCCCCTTTCCAAAGGACAGCCTCTTGCTAAGTAACCTGAAAGCAATTCCCACCAAACAGCTTTGTCCATACTACCCCTGTGGTACTTGACATACAGCATGTGATGGAGCTTCTGCAGCATAATGTAGCTCTTGCTGGATTGGGCATCCCCATTTACTTCCCAGCAATCTGACAGACTTCCCCGGGGGAGATCATACTGTAAGCTCTATATTTGGATGTCAAGAAAAACATAAAAAAATCCTCAATTCTACTAGGGTGAAACTTAGTGTTTTTAAAAGATATTTGGTAACTGCTTAAACACGTATCAGGCATCCCGTTTATAGCGGTGGGGAAAATTCATTTCCCAACAATTCCATGACAGTTCAAACACTTACGTGTCACCCAGATATGATCAAGTTGTGCAGATTTCTCATCCTGTTTTGCATTTATTGACTTAATGGCCAAAACTAATTTCTTCCTGTGCAGTGGATGCTTTATTCCCATTTCCTGCAAAAATTAACCATTATCAAAGATTTTGCCTCGCCTCTGGCTCTTTTGATCGCTGAGGCACCTACAAAAATTGACACTATGCGTTTCAGAAAGGCAGAACTGCCAAGGGTTTGAAGGGGCCTGGTTGTACAGAACCAACAGGTGTGGCTGTTTGAGAGAAACAGGGACAGAAAACGTACCTTTTCCATGTCCTGAGGTGTGGCAGTTAACAGTGTGTGGCCCGACGTCACCCACTGCCGCGCAAAAATGACGTACTGGCCGAGACCAAAGTCCTCAAGCCAGTTACAAACTCTCTCAGTGCTCCACTGAGCAAATGGAGCGTTGTAGTCACTGAAAAGTACAAGAAACATTGGAAAAAAATCTTAAAGAAAAGAATGAATGTTTTGCATTGGAAAAATCTTAAAGAAAAGAATGAATCTTTGCATTGGAAAGCTCATCACGTGCCAGAGGCAGCACTGCAGCGAATCTGTCAGTGTGCCCTGCCCTGTGCAGCAAGAAAAGCCAACAGCCCCTCTGGCAGTAGGTGCTGTGGTACCAGTGTCCTGTTAATTTGCCTGCCCAGCCACAACTGGTGAGGAGTTGGGGGTGTGGACAGCAATTTCCCATTTTCTATTTGAAAAGAGGAAAAAGGGGAATCGCTGAATCCTCATCATTATGCAGGTGTTCTCACAGGATAAGGTGAAATTTTTGACACTGCACCAAGGAGTGAGTGCTGCAACCTGCAGCTGCAGGAGTGTGGACAAGGGAGCTTCTTGGGAAGCTCCCAGAAGCTACCAGAGAAATTCTTGCCACTTGTGAAATTCCATGTGTAGTGACAAATGCATTTCACAAGAGGAGGGTTTGGCTGTTCAGCACATTTATAACACAACCCCACGATGTGCTGTGTAAGGTGAAGAAGGAGCCATTACCTCTTCTGGCCTTTGGTGTCCTTGGAGCGGGATAACCGAGGCCCAGCTGTAGCACGGAGGCCACCTCTTCGGAACTCTGCCAACCCCAGGTCGTCTGCAGGGAAGTTACCTGACTGAGTTCTTCTTATTCTTGCAAGACAAGAGTGCCATGACAGTACTATTAGCTTGTGACAGAGGACATGGGTTTCTGTGGAAACTACAGTGACAACTAGAGGCTGTATTAACCTTCCTGTAAATCACAAATGCTGAATTCCAGTGGTAGCTGAGAAAGTTCCAGCAAATGCAGTCTAGACCTAATCCTGGGGGGAAAAAAAGAGCTCCACAGAGCAGCCATAACACTTCAATCCAATTAATAATCCCAACTTGGAAATGGCTGATGTTTCTGAAGTGGCTCAAGTGAGCACAGCGCAACTCAGTCCCCCTGCTTTTTGTTCCTCCTGTTTTCTCTCATTTTTTTACCTGATGCCTTCTGATGTAATGAACAACCTACTATCATTTAATTTTTCATGGCTAATGAAACTGCTGGCATACTAAATTAATAGCATTAAGATGACAGCAGTGTCATATTTCCTTCACCAGCATGACGCTGGGAACACTCCCATCCATTTTTCTACACCCCTATCCATCTACACAGAGACACCCGTGCAATCCCAGAGCTGCTTCCTCTCCTTTTCCTGAATTTTAGTTTATTCTTGATGTAGATAATTGTAGCTTTTGCTGGGAATTGGATTAATTCTCAACTGAAATGCTTCGAGAGTGAATTAAAAAAATGATCTTACTTTCCCCAGATTTTCTTGATCCCTTTTGGACTCTTTCTGTTTTCTGGAGACCATGGAGATTGTGGACTTGAATCCGTTCCCGAAGAAAGAGGTGAAGGGTCATCTGAGACTACTGTACCATCCATGTTCTCTGTTTCTCCTGGGTTAAGAACAGCATTACAGTCACATTTTGTACTAATTATTGGTAAAGTTTTTGTCTGGGAGACTGATATTTTAATGCAGACCATAATAAAAAAGTACAGATACCTGTAAAATTGTTCTTGTATCAAAAAAACCCAAAACATGCTCAGAAGGTGAAAAAAACAGTAGCTGCAGATTTGATACAAAAAAAGAAAATAATAAAACATGGGTAAAATAGTATTGTTATTTCGGTCATTTGTATTTAACTACATTATTTTAATTCATTTAAGGTCTTCAGACTTTTGCCTTGCCTGCTGTTTAATACCATAACTCCTCCATCACAATCAGTGGGAATTTTTCTGACTTCAGTGAAAACAGAATGAAACTAGGAAACAGTGTCTTAAAAAGAAATCCCATCTGAATGCCAATACAGCAAAAGCTGTTACTTCATTTCAGTACTGCACATAAGGAATTCAGACTGGATGACCCACTGGGTGTTAGCATTTCATAGAGAAAGGGAGGGGGGAAAAAAAGAAAGAAAAAAAAGTAAGCAGCAAAACTGGTGTTAAAGTTGCATCTTTTTTGGATACAGTACCTAGCACTGGTGCACTGACACTCCTGATGCGATCTTCAGTCATCCCAAGAAGCAGAAAGCCAGATGAAGAAGCAAAGAAGATATAAAACACCAGCAAAATAAAGTTACAGAAGAGCAAAGTAGTAAGCTAAGCATTAAAAGCAGGAACAAAAAGAAAAGAAGCAGTTATGCTTGACATGGAAGTGAATATGCTTTGGTGTGCACAAGCCCCAAGAATTCTCAATACAGATCATCCTGAATAGATAGGGATGATCCATTATCTGTTTTGGGTTTGTTTATTTATTTTTTTTTTAATTATTCTTTGCCCATTTAAACACATTAAGCATATACTACAGAGCTCCACAAAGCCTGCAGAGTATCTGAAATGAAGCAATGTCTAGGATTACATTGAATTCCTCTGAATTTAGAGGAATTGGAGGTGTACTGAGTTTACTGCACAAGAAACCTGCACAAAAAATTCTTTTAACTCAGTGTATTTAAGAAGCCATTGCTTGTTTCTAGAAAAAGAACATTTTCCTTTATGAGCTCACCCATCCTTGGATAAGACATAACAGCATGGCTCATGCCATTGCCTACAATGTTGCAGTTACAGAAAAACTCTTTAAAAAAACCCCTGAACTACCGCATCCTGTGGCAATCTTGAAACTACAGCATCCTGGAAGATTTTAGGACCACGAGGCCTTAAAATAAACCAACCCCCACCAAATAAAAAAAAGCCAGCCAAACAAAAAAACCCCACGTGACTTTTAAACTCTCTAGAAACACCTCAGAATCACAAGGGATACTCTCATGTCTGAGCTTCCCAAGCCCTTTAGTCCTTGGGAAATACCTGGTTCTGTGCCTCACTGTAACACTTCTTGTCAATAAATCTGTGTTTAAGGTGTCACTGAAATTATTACAGGCTTCCACAGGACCGTGGTTGTGGACTAACAATACATTTGTAGTTCCAAAATCCACGGGTGTTTTTCTGCATTTAGCAAGTTAAATTTTCACTTGTGGGTCCCCACAAGCTACAGCAACTGACAGTGCTGGATACAAGGATTTTTGTTTGAAATGTGCATGTTAGTGCTACTTGTACTGTAAAGTTTCACCCACTAAAATGCAGTGGGGATGGCAAGGAATGGGTTTGTTTGTTTTATTTAATACCCCAATCTAGTGTGCATTTTTAAAAGCATTGATATGTACTTGGCTGTGCATTTTTGTTAGCTTGTCTTTTTTTTTTTTCTTAAGAGAACAGATGAGCAAGCTCAAGCACTGGAAGCATGTCTGGAAAAAAATACTGCTTGTTCATACTGTGAATATGTCTGCCTCTCTAAAAGTTCTGATTTTTAATCAGAGATTCGTTAACTTTCAGAAGGCTCTGTCCACAGTGTCCAAAAACCCTGTCTCTTCATTACTTAAGCTATCAATGATTTCAGCAAATTGTGTTGTCAAATGCAACAGAAAAGAACTCTCCAACTTAAAGCCATCCTTTACTCCCCAGTGAGCTAATTTCTGGTATGCTGTTTAAAAAAAAAAAAAAGGCAGTAGAACGCTCCCTAACTGAATCATGCGAAAACAACACCATTGTTCTGGCATAGCAGATTATATCCCATGCTCTGTCCCAATCCCTCAAACAGTTTGCTTTCTCCCCTCCCCATAACCCTCTCAGAGAGCTGTGGGTACATACTCAGGCCCGGGACGCCATTTTCCTCGCTCATCCCACATCCGTCCGGAGAGTGATACGTTCCCTGCTCTCCATTCTGCAAGGGTCGAGGCATCTTTCCTGGCAAGGTTTGGTACTTGCTGCCCTTCACAACTGGCTTACTCTTTGTTTTTTCAAAGAGGAAAAAAATAAAATAAATAAATAATAATAAAAATCAAATCACTTGCAGCATTTGCAACCCAGTACACAACGATTTCAAAGTTGGGGAAAAGAGCTTGAAGTTCACGGTTCAAAATGATTCCACTCCCTCCCTGTTCCTGCTTACAGATAACTCAATGTAAGCCCAACAGTCAGCTCACAGTTTTCTAGCTTAGACACAGTCTTGTCTTCCCTCATCTGCTCCTCCCACTCTAGCCAGACTCTATATTACATTAAAATTCATGTATTACCTGTTTTTGTTATAAGAACTTTTCTAACTGTCTTCTCCTTTAGACCTCAGCACTATATAATTACTTGGTCCTTACAAGGTCAACTTTGATAGTGCCAAAAATGCATTTGGTTACTTCTCAGACTGTTTTTTTCATTCTGCCATTTTTTCCCCCCTTATTTTTCACCAGACTGTCTCTGTTTCTGCCTCACAATTTTATCTTGCTGGAATTTGAACCAAAAGTATTTATACACCTCAAATTTTCTCAAACATATTTCCCACCACCATTAATAACAGTAAAGGAATCGACAGCAAAGTCAGGGTACAGAAATTTAACGTTTGCAAGGACTGAGATCTCTTTGCACAGACAAAATTACAAATGCAAGGTTTTTTTTTAAAAAAAATAATTACAGCTAAACATATAGTTGCCAAATATACAAATATACTATCATTGCCAATTCTATTACAGAACCTAAGCACAAGGTATACTTTTGATAAAAGCTGGGAAAAAAAAAGGCATAGACTGAACTATATTTTAGGGCTGACCCCACAAGTTTTGTCCACATCAGGCTAAAGTAAGTCTAAGCTTTGCTCTCCTGCACACATTCAGTGTCACAGGCATCACAGCCCCCAAGCAGTGGTCCCCAAAATCTCACTGTATTGTACTGAAGGGGAACTGGTACCTAGGCTTTGCTAAAAATAGAATATCTCTTAATTTTCCTTGCATTCAAGTGATCATCTCACTTGGGGATCTTGCTCCTTGTACAAGGGTAGATGAGAAGGTGCCTAATAAATCTGATAGAAGATACTTCTCCAGGCAAAGTACATGTGTTTTGGAAATACAGTGTTGAGACTTCTTGAATACTGGCTCCATATGAAAAAATGGATGAGCCACCACTCTGGGAAAAATGTATATCCCAAAACTGTCAAAACAGGGGAACAGAGATGCTTTTCGAGAAAACCTGCAACTCCAATTGACATTAGTGGGAGTGGTGTACATTAAACATGTGTTTTGGAATAAACTGGTCAATGTTTCAATCACAGAACGGAGGTTTTGTAGGAAAACTTTATACTGAAAACATGCAAACCATATTTAGTATACAGGAACATACAGTATGCTACTATTTAGTAACCCCATTCTAACAAAATTGTTTTAAAACACTGTCTGGGACAGGATGAGACATTAAATATTTAATGAGATAACTACTGCTTTAATCTATTCTTATTTCAAGGCCTAGAGGGATCTTTGGATACTGCAGCTGCAGGCCAGATTAATCAGTTCCTCAACTCCTGCTCCTTTTTTGGCAGCTGCAGGAGTACATCCCAACTTGCACCAAAATTTGTATGAGTAGAAAAATTGCTTCCAAAATCAGCACTGTATTTCCTGAAACCGACTGACTTCAGCTTCTAACTTCATGTAACAACTTTTAGATAAAAAAAAAAAAAATTCCCTCTCAAATTTTTACCCCTGTTCTCAGAGTTTGTCAGCACTGGAACTATGCAAACATTTTAAAAGAAGAAAATGAACATAAAATGAAAACCCAGCCATACCATCACAGCACATCACAACAGAGAATTGTTAGGAAAGGTTGCAGTTAATATACCTCTTGTTCTACAACAGGCTGTGCTGGTTTTCCATCTACATACTACGGAGTTTCAGGGAGGGCAATTTCAAAGTTTTATGGAAAAAAAGCAACAGACAAATGTTAGTATTAACATACATACACGGAACATCAATTGTAGTCTTATTACTATAGTGATGGTGCTTAATGTATGGACAATATATTACAAGGACTGTTATCTTTTCATTTAATTTCAATCCAATATTTAATACCAATTGTGTTTGCTCATTCTCCACTCTACAAAATTTGGGCCCTGTCTAGGTTCTGCTGTGATCAAAGGAATTTTGCTGTTTTCAGGCTTCTGGGTGGTCCCTTTAGACTTACTTTAAGCTGGGAACATAACAGCTGTTTTAAAGTTAGAGCAGTACGAAAATGACTGACATAAAATAACATACACAATGCTGTATGTACCCAGCTGAAATCATAAAGAGCTGTGGTAGAAGTGAAGTGATAAAAATACCAGCATGGCTAGGTCAGGGACACCAGTGTGGCTTGCTATTTTTTTATTATAATTATTGCTGGAAGGAAATGGAATTTGAGCTTTATGCAAAGCAGAAGAGCTCCAGTAAACACTGCTGCTAGCACAGGTTCTCTTGGAATTAATGCAAAAAGCAGTCTGTCGTGCTGGGTGAGCAAAACAAGTTTTCTTGGCCTCAGTTTTGATTGTAACATTCACATTTAGCCACTCACTCATATGCACAGGGAGGTCTCTTTCACCAAGAGGCCTCGTGCCTAAATTAGGGCACACAATTTAAATGCCTTGCTGAACTTGGGGCTGGCTTGCTACAACTCTCATATCCTTGGTGGGTTTTCCTTTCTCTATGGGCTCTGATTTCATGGATAGAGCAAATTTACAGCATAAATGTGTAGGTACAGCCTAATCACAGCATAACACAGGGACAAATTAAGATTTTGAACTGAAGTTATGAAAAGAAAACAGACCTTCATAAATTCTTTGTGGAATGAAACGTTAGTTCTGATTTGTCACGTGTGTGTATGACCACAATTGAATGAGTGCAACACAAATTTCACATATTCTAATTGTTCACTGTCATCTTCAGCGACTTAAGAAAAATTTTTAAAAAATTTAAGCACTGGAGCAATCACATTACCAGTATCTGTTTTAAATTACATGACTGGGTGTAAGTAACCTAGTATTAAGCCTAATTTGAGTACAGAAAGCATCAACAACAGTCTCACAAAGCATAATTACAAGTGCAGAACAATGTCAGTACATAATGACAAAACAAGACTCTGGACCACAATGTAACGAGACTTTGCAAATCGGGAAGTCTTTATTCTGGAATGGAATTAAAGTCTTTGAAGTAATAACAGTGCCCCTACTGCTTTAACTAAGGCAGCATCACCGCCATCTTCAGAAATGCCATTTATATCAGAAGTCTAAGGGACCAACACTCATAGTTACATGCAAACACTTAAAAAGGAATCCTATGTGGAAATGCCCATTTCCACATTTAACTACTTTCAGGATTTGCTGCCTTAACATTTTTAGTGATTTGGAAGTAAAATTTATTTTAAACACACCTATAAACAAAATAATACTGCAGTTTTATCATCAGGGCTTTTTCCCCACATACAATGTCAGCGGTGGTTAAAGTTACTTAATGTGAAATAAAACAAATATTTGTACTTGACCTTTGTCTTTTAGTTGCAATATTAAAGACCAGAAACTGTGATTACAAATAAACCAACCTTTTCCAGGGATTCACTCTGCAAGTCTTCTAAACTACTTGACTTTTTTTTCTGTGGAACCCTTAAAAAAGTGACAGGGGAAAAAAAGCAGCAGTTAATACAACATAGTACGTTTGTATATGTCACAAGTGCCTCCTATGACAGCTGTACAGATCACACTTTGTTACATTTGCATGTAACAAATAATTCAGAATTGAGAGATTATTTTTAGTCTAAAAATCATAGTATTAGAAACTGCAGTAGATGAAGTCAGGAACAGCAACAAGACATCCTGTGATCAGCAGTGGAAGGCAACAAGGCCCAGTGTGCAGCTTTAAACCTTGTACCTACACATGACTTTTTAGAAGCTCTGAACAAGCAAAAGTACAGGGCAATAACTCCCTGTGAGCAATGTGGACACATTAAGGGATTTTAAAAAGGAAAAACGTTTCACATTTCAAAGTTACTCGTTCTTACCTGTTTATGATTTCCAAAGATTCTTCTTGTGGAGAGGTCATATTAGTCGAAGATACTGGAATGCTTCCACTTTAAATACAAATAAATGTCATAGCTTTAAGTACTGCAGTACATATATCTTCTGATGTACAAAAGTGCTGATTTATTCATGTAATTCAAACCTTACAGAACTAAGCATTGCAAACCTCCCTGGCAAACACTGCTTTCACAAGTACCCAAAAGTACAGCAAAGCCAAGAACGGTCAAGACAAGATACCAACAGTTAAACAGCCTAAATAATACAGATTTAGGACAACCCACATGAAACATGAGAAAGAAAGAAAGGTCTTGCCTGATTTCCATAGCTTTGTGTGGCACCGGAGGGAGCACAGCTTGTGACAATTCTCCTGAAGAGGCCTTTGTAAAAGACAAGAGTTTCAAGCCTGTAATTCTGGTGTCTGATGCTGAATCTACCATGCCCATACCAAGAAGTACAACAATTCAGCCAGGGCCAAACCCTCATCTACGTTACTACAGAGAAGCCAACACCAAAAAAATCATATATATGGCAGAACTCGCTTCTAAAAACATCTTTGCTAAGTACCTCTGTTTTCAGTAATTCTCCTTGAGAATTATTCAAAAGATTCCACTTCCTTAAAGTTATCTCAACTTCCTCTTCACTGCCACCAGAGACAGAAGAGCCTATGAGCATTAAAGAGTAGAGGTAGAAAGGGAGAGAAACAGGCAAAAAAAAGACATTTAAGCCCATATCAGACAGCCTAAATTTTTCGATCTCTAAATTCCCCTTCAGTCTTTCTTCATAATTTACCACCCTCTCTGCTCCCCACCCCTCCTTTGGGCTCTGATTTACCATCAAAATGATTTATGTTAGAGCAACAAATGTATCACTTTCAGTTGCATGCTTTGCTCTGCTGTGAGCAGCTGAGCTGCTCATGAGGCAGCTTCTGAACCACTTGTGATTCATAGTTTGATGTTCTGGGCTGAGCTGAAATTGGTACCATTTTCTTACTCGCCATGGATCACAGTGTGGACAATCTCTCTGTGCACTGTAGGTCCTACACAGCCTTGTGGTACCAACTCAATAACCCAGAGCACCATGGATTGTTCACGTACACAAGTGGCCTCCAAAAAACATGTTCCACAGGGGGATAGTGCACTCGGATCTGTGCAACCGGGATGTGGCCAAGGACAGCGGACAAAAGCTACAATCACACCTTTGGATTTACTTTCAGAACACTTTCAAGTGAGAGACTTTTTTTTTTTTTTAATGAACATTAAGAGAGAGATTTACTTGACTCTTGTGTGTTAAATACAAGTTTCCATTCTTCCAGAGAAGGCCTGAAAATATCATGTTTGTTAACGTGATGATATGCGGTGAACAAAACTGTCCTTTCAGAAGGTCAAGTTTCCCAGACTAGATTCAGTACTGGAAAGTATGGTGGCAGCTTAAAATGAGATTGTCCTAACCCCCACTCTGCTTCCTGCAGCGTAACTGAGAAATGGGACAAAGATCTTTCTGTAGATTTTAAAGTAAAATATATAAACATTGTGTACACCAAAGCAATCGTGGGGTTTCAGTTGTTCCTTCCAAAAAGAACTTGCCTAGGCAGCTGTCAGGACATTTTTTTAGTGGAAGGGAGGGACAATAGAACTTACTAGATTTATTGCAACTCCTTTTAGCAAAAAAGAATAAAAGTCCTCCTAACAGTATCAAATTGCACCTGAGATCAGCTTTCCTTTTATGAATGCCACATAAAAAACATGACATCAAACATTACCACTAGGTCTCTGGCAGCTGAGCATTACTGCCATTCCTGAATTGAACTGTGGTGTAGGAAATCTGAATATAGGATGTATTTAATCAATTAATGTTCACAAAGGTCTCCTGGTATCATTTCACACTGTAAAAACTGGCTACTCATAACATAATGATCACAGGAAACACCACATAAACTTAATACCTATCTGTATACCTTATTCATCTCCTACAGATGAATTAGTTTAAATCACATAATGTCATTTTAATTTTGAGTAATAGATTTTTTGAGAGCGATATAATGCCTTTTCAAACTACAGGCAATAACACAAGTCTGGTCAAGACATACTGTGGTTCTCTCTGTATCTGAAAAAGTGTATATTTACTCTCATAGCACTCCAACGTGATACAAAGACATGCATAATAAAATATATATTACTATATACATATATTTAAAAGGACAGCAAATAGCAGTTGCAGCGCATGCAGTTTTTAAAAGACCTGATATCAGGAAATAATTCACAAGATGTTTTACCATGAGCTGCAATCATGATGTCTTTGACCCTCCTGTACTGGTTTAGCAACAGCGTCAGCTCCTCTATTCGACGGTCCTGCGAAAAACATTAAACAAGATCACAGTTAAAATCCTACATTTTTAACCTGCAGGAATGCTGTGCTACATTTCTGTGATTTTCATGAATGCAGGATCAAGTCTCTCCCATGCCTTGTAAGGAATGTTTCTTGGCCTTTATTCGTCATTGTACCCAGTATTTGCTAGACGGCGTGAAATTATGGATGTAAGGAAACAAGAGGAGCTTTACGTTCGTAGTAAATTAGTTATTTACAACAGAAGCATAATTTGGAAATCTGCTTTCACTTCTAAGAGTGATGGCAATATTCTGGAGTTGAACCTCAACTGCCTGAAGTGGGCAGTGTTTTACCACACCTGTCATCATAAAGTGAATCATGTTTATGTTTTGTTTAGTTTAACCATCTAGTCATGCTCTTTAATCCTGTGTGTAGGATGTTCTCCATTCTGACAGCTGCACTTACTCCAGTTTTGAACACACCTGTTTGAAGTCCAGGCAGTCAAACCCACACAGGGCCAAAGAAATGAGGCCTTGTGAATGTCTGATGCATTTTCTGACTCCACTCCTTCTCCAGTACCTAATGCTTTCCTATCACATGCAGAAAGCATCTTGATCCACGTATTCAGGGAGGGCACTTGCCTTTTGCACTCTCACAGTTTGTCCTGTTTCTTTAACCCCAGTTCTAAACCATTCCTCTGTGATAATCCTGCCCAGTGCTGTGACTACAGAGCACTGAATACAAACCCAAGCAAGAATAAAGAACTAGTTTTCACAAGCAGGTGTCAGGAAAGCCACAGAAACAAAGAAGTGGGCACTGGAAAAAGAAAAATTTTCCAAGGAAGCTGACAAGTATTTAAGGAATTGTCTGACACCGAGCTGCTGCCCTGCCACAGCTGTGCCAGTGTCAGAGGTAATTCTATTAAAATCTGCTCTGGCACATGTATGCTACATTACAGCCACAGCAGATACCCACCAAGGTGGAGGAATAACTGCACAGAAACCAGATCTTTACCACTTTACAAAACAGCAGATGATGCTGATCCTCCCTTCACCCTCAGCAAAATATAACATGAGGAAAAGGAGGCCTAAACCAGATACCCCGTTATCCCAGCCATGGATGGAAGCAGCAGGTTCCTATTCATAGCAAAGACCTGAGACTAACATACCCAGTTTTTAAAAAAACAGAAATACATGCACCACTTACTACCAACTTAGTTCAGCACTTTCTGTCCTAAGTGACACAGGGAATATTTATTCTGAGGTCCTTTCCCTCAGAAAGGGAATACTTTATTTTGCAATATTATTGAAGGTAATAGTTCTGCATGAAATACTTCGGAAGCTGTGGGTCAACCATCAGTCCACTAGTTTAAACACTACAGTTTTCAAGGAAATAACCCGCCTTCCTCTGTGAGTACATCCAGATATTAGGACATAGGCAGCAATATTTTGTGTTCCCTTCATATACAAAAACACCTTATGCAGACTTGGAATAATTTTGTCAAGAGATAATGACACATCTTTTATTTTCCAGGTGTAAATTTTGGCTTTTTAAGAGTTTTTGAGAACTAAAATATTGTTATGAACCACATTAATGTTCTCCAGAATTAATGTTGTCCTGTCTGGATCACCCACTTACTAAAAGAAGATTTTAGGGATGCATATTATTGTTTATTTGATTGTAGAGGACAGTGTCACCATAAAGGAAAATCTTATGGCTTGATTTATTATCATAAAAACTACAATCTGCTGAAGAATGAATCCCCTATTTAAATAGATTTAATTCCACTCCTTCTCCTTTAGTGCTCTTTTTTTTTTTTCCCTTCCTCTTATTTATTTACATCCTGTTCCCTTTCTCCTCAAATCTGAGTCTGCATCAGAGGCCACTTTGACTTCCTTTTAATATCAGAATCTAAATTGGGTTTAGATGCACTTTGGGTTAGGTTGGAAGACAAAGAGCTGCCAGAGATGAGCAAACCTCAGGGATCTTTTCTGTAGCAGAAAACAGGAGATTTTGCTCATTACAGCCTTGGCTTTGTCCTCCCCTCTGGAATGTAATGAGCCTCCCAAATTCTTCAGCCAGGTTAGCAAAGTCAGCCACACTTTCTCTTTAAACATC